TTTTGACTTACTCCAAGTGCTCAGGACAGGATCTCTACAGCTAATAATTACTCTGAAGGCCAGAGCCAAGTAAAAATAGATGAAGCCCTCTTTTAAATATTCAAAGTCATACTACTGAAAAGCATAATAGCTATTTCAAAGAGATGTCCAAATTCAGAATATTGTACGAGTTTGTACTCATTGTACTGGTTCTCCTAGAGTACAAGTGAAGATATTAATGACAATAATGATGTCTGCAGATGGGTAACATTTACTTATTTTGAAAAATCAGAGATAAGGCTGCCGACACTTAGATTTGAAAGACGCCAGGTAGCTAAAAAATCGGGATGTTACTTCATTGATGTGAGATAACTGACACCACAAAGATCCACACTGACTGAGCCACTCATCAATTGGCCCCTGTTTAAAGATGAAAGATCCAATTTAAGAAACAGAAGGAACATTGGTTTTATATTAAAAATATCTTGTAATACATTGTCCAGAAATATATGTTCGTAACCATTGTGAAAACAGTTTGAGAGTACAAAACCTTTAGTCTGCAATATTAATTGGGAGAAAAAGTTTTGGGGAGAGGTGGGGAAATAAGGATCTGTAAGCCCGTGAGACTAAATTCCATGCCCTCGGGCTGGCCTATACATAATATAAAGCAGCGATCCCTGACTCTGACCCCCTCAATGAATCATAAGTCCTGCTGTAGTCTTTTCACTCAGACAAAACAACTAAATCCTGCACTCTTGCTTTAGTATATATATATGTACATGAGGCTCCCTGACTTATCACATATCACACCTGTTAACTATTATAGATGGCAGGTAAATCAATTACCACCTTGAAATGCATCTGTTTACACATATCTGATCAACAGTAGACTCATATATTGGGAATTCCTCTAGACTTAGAAGGTGTTTGTGTGTGGAGGGGGGGGGGGGGCGCAGCAGAGTTGTGTGGATTCCCGAGTCAGGAAGTTATGAATTCTTAGACCTAATAAAAACATAAGGCTGAGTTAACCTTATACCTTATCTTTTTGGGGCTCTTTTATGCTTTGGTAGCCCTTCTGACATCAAAAACACTTTCACTGAAAATAATAAATATATAATGCAATGCTTTGCCCATCAAGTTTAATCATTACCAAAATGACCACAAGAGAAGCCTGATCATGTAATTCACATAATCCTTACATAGACAATATATACAATAACATAAATGAGCATATTGAAATTACTAGCAAGGGTATGGATGGAATACAATATCTTATTTGTCTATTTCTGGGTTTAGATTTACCACAAAAATGCCCAAGTATCTCTAACATATGCATGATCCATCAAAACAATCTGTGAAAATAACATATTATAATTAAGTGTATCTTGATAGATAAGAAGAGGCGAGTTTCGCAGACTATGATCTAATGTTATGCTCCAAAGTAAAAAGTCAATAACCTGTATTTGACCTTGAATGTACTAAGAAAAAAACAGGATGCTGGATTAGTTCTGAGCAGATTGATTACAATTACTATGTGATCCAATTGATGTTTTTCCAACATGGCAATGATAGATTGCATGTGATATATGTTCTCAACATCAATAGATGAATGTGGAGCTGGTGTTTCAATGAGGATCTGAGTGAATAAGAGTACAGAGTGAATGAATGAAAGTAAGAAAGTAATAAAAATGGGTGAGTGTGTAAATAGGTGTGGGTGATATTAGCAATGAGAGTGAGTAATTGAGAGTGAGAATGGTTGAGTGAATGGGAGTAAGTGAGGGAATGAGAATGAGTGAATAAGAATGCATGAGTGAATATGAATGAGTAAGTGAGAGTGGTTGAGTGAATGAGAGTAAGTGAGGTTACGAGAGTAATTGAATAAGAATGGGTAAGTGGATATGTATGAGTAAGTGGGTGAGTGAGAGTGGGTTAGTGATTTTGAGGGTAGATGAGTGGAAGGCTGATTGAGTAAGTAAATGTATGAGTGGGTGAGTGAAATAGTTGCTGAGTAATCATAAAGTGGCTAAGTGGATGACTGAGTGAGAGGGTGAGTGAATGGCTGAAACAATAAGTTAGTAGATGATTGAGTGAGTAAGAGTGTTATACGAGGGGTGATCAATAAGTAATGGACGCTTTTTTACACAGATGCTTTTTATGGACCAATCCCTTCGATTTTCTGACCAGTGATACATCATTCAATTATCTATCAACTCTGAAGATTTGAAAACAAAACATGTAATATATTTTGATATATCTTTATTTCCGAAAAGGATGTGTAGGTACCCCGGGACCGACATGACGTCAAACATTCTAAAGCTATTTTTGCTTGTTTAACATTCAATGCAGTTGAATGCAGGCTGAACAAAACAAACCATTATGGTCATGAATTACCTTATTTTGGTATGCCATAGTTGATTTTGAATATTTTATCATCACTATGTGGAAATCATGCCACATTCACTCAACAGGGCCCTCTACATGGGTTCGATCAAGTGCTACATGTACACAATTCCTCATCCTTTTAACTCAAGATTGTGAGACAAGGCTGAATCCATTCTCTGACATGGTAGCAAGATGCAGTTGCACACTGACAGGTTGTTTTATTTCATCAATGGCAATAAACCTGCGTCCTTTCTCTATAGAAATAAGTAGTATAGAAATGAATAAGTCACATGTGAGCAGGTCTGGACAATATGGTGCATTGGCCAAGGGCTCAATTTTGAGGTCCAGGGATATTGTTTTCTAAACATTTTGAGATCTGTGGGCAGGTGCATTGTCCATATGGAGTAGGGTGTTCCTTTCTCTCACCATCCCTTTCTTCCACAATGCTTTCTCAAATTGACCTGCAAACCCCTTCCATTCAACACTCTGACATCACAATACTTTCTGTTTATGTGTTACCAGTCAGCAAAAAATTTCAAACAACACAACACTTGTTGCATATAAAAAGTTCAAATCTAACTGAAATTTGCCAAACTGGCTAAAAAGTGAATATGTGACGTAAATGTCGGTCCCGGGGTACCTGTACCTCCTTCACGGAAATAAGGATATATCAACATATATTACATATTTTGTCTTCAAATCTTCAGGATTGATAGATAATTGAATGACGTATCACTGGTAGGAAAATCAAAGGGATTGGTCTATAAAAAGTATCTGTGTAAAAAAGCGTCCATTACTTATTGATCACCCCTCGTATTATGGGAATTATTGTCTGACACACTCATATGCATTGTACCAAGAGTCGGCCATGTCTACATGCATATAATAATATATAAAATGACTGAAGTCAAACTATGAGGTGAATATTAAAAAGCTTGGACTGCTCAGCAGAATATGGATATCATAACTGATCACCTCCCATCAAGATAATTCATCAAATCATTAAGCAATGATCTAATTACAATTCAGCTTGTGTGCAAAATAGAAATGTTTGACTTGTTAGAACATCAGTCTGACATTAAAACATTGATAGCTACTAGAACAATAGAAAAATCAGATGTGTCTGTCTAACCAATTCATAAAAACATTTATATAATTTTAAGACAACAATATTACAGAGTGAAATCATCATATTTTTCACATTTACTTGGAAAATCCATGAAAAAAATCAGTAATCATTTAAACTATAGTTGAAGTAATATTTACTTTTTTTAATCATTTGTTGCAAATTAAAAGTTGGGGGGGGGTCAAATTGTCAGCAATGTGTCAAGGCAACAGGTCAAAGAAGTCTCAACTTGAAATGTTTTCTTAAGATACAAAGTGCAGAAATATAAAATCAGAGTCTCTGGATATATCACAATACTCTATAAGCTGGAATATTGAACATATTCTGAACATGAATGATGTATTACTACATGATTTAAAAAACCTTTGAACAGAACGCAGAAACATATTGTGATATATGCCCAAAATATTAAACGCTGAATGTGGAATAGCTGGGTGCCAAGATATTTGACAAAAATGATGAGTGAGACACTAAGAAAAATACATACATGTGTTTCTTCTCTGTTTGACTCGATAAGACTAACTATGAAATGTTTAGATTTAAAAAATTCTTGAAGTAATTATAAAAGCAAAACAAATCACTTATAAAAACAATCAAGCTATCCAACCTGCAATAAATAACAACTGGCCAGTGTTTTTGTGTTGTGGAGTCCTGCTTTTAAGATTGCATCATGTACTTTATTTTTTGAGAAAATAAACAGGTTATCACACAAGTGAAACATAAAAATCAATGAAATGTCTGCCTTGATTATGGATGGTTATATTCTCTATGGCCTCAATGGGCTTGTTTCAGTCAACAACCCAAGGTTTCCAGTTATCCTTTTCAAGGCCTCATATACAGTAATCACAGCTAGATCCTCAACTTCTTGGTAGTTTCAAATCAAGGAGCTTTGAATCAATTTTGGGCATGAATTCAACACACTGGGCTCTGATTCAACACACAAAAGCTCTGACTCTACATTAAACCACCATCAACCCCTTATAGATTAAAACCCCTGCTTGGTATCTTATGTTTTTAAAATAAACCTTTCTGAAGTGAACATTGCTTGAACCAGGTATTCACAAAGAGAGGTGTTCGCATTAAGATGTTCTGATAAAATAGGAATGAACAATGAACTGGATGCCCATGATCTGGAACCAAAAAGAGTTCCCATTTGGAGGTGTTCACTTCAGGAGGTTCTGATAAAGGAGAGTCAGGGCTCAATGGCATTCAGACATCAAAAGTGTTCATATCAAGATGCATTTACTTTATAAAGGTAATAGCTTGTGGGAAGCCATATACCCCTGTGGTATTTATCACTGTTATGCGAAAATGATGCCAAAAGGATATTAGTGATTAGACTCAGGTCTAAAAATCAAACTGTCAAAACGTAGAAGATAAAGACAGACACCTTCAACAGAAGTTGCATTTGAATGTGATACCTTCAATATGTTTATCTGTTACATATTGCTTATATTTAACATTAAGCTTTAAGGGGTTGACCTAGTGGTATTTTACTAAAGACTGCTCCTACCTGTAATGTTGGGAAGATGGCAACTTTGTCTGGAGGTTTGCTGGATAGCGTTGGAGCTACACTCTGCTTCTCTATTTGACCTTTGTCTCGACCAAACTTACGCACAGGATTCGTGAGCCATTTCCTGGAACAGAAATATTTGATTTGAATTCATTTTTTATAAAAGAGGCTCTATGTCATAGGATAGCACAATCAAGACCCCTCTGGACTTTTTTGCATATTGAGTTTCACCACATATATACCCATCTACTTACCAAAGAAGAAATCCCAAATCCCCCTCTTTCAGTGTTAATTTTGCGATTGTGCTGGCCGATCTAATTATTTTCGAAGAAATTAATTCAATCTCAAGATATATCCATGGTATGTGAGATATATGAGCAATAACATTATGTATCTTTAATATTCATTATCTGTATGTAAGCAATCCTGAGTGTAACATTATATACAGACAAAAAATCTAAACATAATGAGCATCTTTTTAATTATGCTTGGAGTACTCAAAGAATGAACAAGACACAGAGTAATAAATATCGCACTTGAAATTCAAAATGGCCACCTTGTAAATAATGCTCAGTATGCCCAAAATCGAATAACATATTGGCACTAGTAAGTGCTTGAATCTGAACAGTTGTCTTACTATCTTGATGAAAATGTTTCATTTGCCACCCACCCACATACACATCAGCACAAAATAAGACAACATAGCTCTTTTCAAGTGTGATAAAAATCCTGATGATATGAACATCATACAAAAAAACATGTCACAAATTAGGGTTAGGCGTAAAGAACTGGTTTGTTCATTATTATACAGTGTGTTTTATTGTTAGATCAGCTGTTAATCATAACTGTAATAACAGATCTGTTATTCAATTTGGATTGCAAATTCTGACATCTTTTCAACAATCTAGGGCATATGAATATTTCTAATAAATGATAGTAATGTGGAACCTGTTAATCCCAAAACATAGTCTCAAAATCCTATGCTAAGGATTTGATCCTATGTTTTCAGATCAACTAGTAAGGTGGAACCTTGTTTAGGAAAGGAAAATACAATAGAACTTCACTAGGTGCAGCAAAAAGTGTTCAGGTTGGCAGGTGCTCATATTTCAAGGTACTTTAACACATAATTCTATGGCACTGAAAAGTGTTCACTCTAGAGGTGTTTGAACAGTTTTTACTTTTTGATGACTTGATGTAAAATGACATTTCAAAGGAAACTCATTGTGTGACCTGAAAGTTATTATTTTGAGTTAACAATGTCAGACATTATAGCTGATATTCAACAAAGAAACCAGTCAATAGCTTGGTGTGAAAATTGTTGTTCTGCCCGAATGAAATTTCACTCAAAACTTGGAGCCAAGACCTGCCTAATTTGAAAGATCCCACAACACTGAAAATCTGGGATCAGGCATCCAAAATGAGCACCATATTAGAAAAGAAATATCACTAAGAAATACTTTGCCCAGATTTTAAACTTCTGACTAGATTTAAGTAATGATACCCCTAGTTTGACAATATTCTTTGTATCAACAAAGATACAAGCTTTTAACTCATTGCTGTCCAAAGTTATTTTGGAGATTTTCAGCTGGTGACCGGCCATTTTGATGAAAAATTTAGCAAAATGGCATGTTTTCAAATCAGCATAACATGGACTATATCAGCACCCTCTGTGCTATGTTTTATGCCATTGTGAAGCCAATGACAATATATTTCAATTGCACCCAACCATGGTCAACCTTGCAGCCACTACAATATTTGGTAAGATTATTGGTACAAACCATGTGACAATTATTGGACAGCATCCTGAGATATCTCGGGGTTGGTCAGATACGATTATAATGTCATAGACCAAATATCTTGGGAATGGTCAGCGATGAGGTAAATCCTCTAAAAGCACTGAGTAACAAGGCATTAACATGACAAAATGTCACCACCTTGAAATCTGTTACAGATGCGGAGCACCAAACACCATGCATCCACAAAAATGTTGGTGACTTTAACAATATCTCACCACATAATAGACAACAGTACAAAGTATAAGGTGCTAATATGTGATAGCAATATCTAACAAACAGATATTTGATTATGAATTCATACTTATAACTCCATATAAACAAATCAAATGGTCGACTAAACCTCAAATGTTGGACAAATCCAATCAGAAATCGTTGAAAGTTGAAGTAATTTCATTCAACGAGAATTCCTATTGATCCATAGACGCAATCAGTCGCTGACGTCATATTTATCGATAAAGTCAGCTGTTTGTGCGCTTGAAGCTGTCCTTGAATATCAAACTTCAAAATTTGTCAATATTCTAATCAATGAACCTCAAATAATAAATTAAAAAATACATGCTTCAAAATATCATCATAAAATCCATTTGTACATGAAGAGGATAATTTGAAGAAAAATATGATTTGTAATTAACGCAGCAATATGATTTTGACCCATAGCTTAATGTCAGGATATTGTTTGTAATTAGAAACAATACAATGATATATAGATAAACCCATTGAACACAATTTTGAAACCTTACTTTATATCGTTCAATTAATAGGTCATGTACAGTATATGGATGCCTTGATTTGCAGTGTCAAGCATCAAACAGTAAGAAAAATAACACAACAGTTTTTTTTTCAAATATAAATTGCATTAAAAAATTAAAATCAGCAAGGAATAAAGACATAGACTTTTAAACAAATCTGTAATAAAAAAAGTACCAAGAGATAACAGATGTAGCAGGCCATTCTAACAAGAGAAAAACTTAACATTCAGAAAAATTCAAGGCAGTCAAAGGGTCATTTCTAACATTAATAAAATAAAAATAAAGTAAATCTAATAGCCATTGCAAATTTCTATTCATTGAATGAGTTTATATATATTTGATTTTTCAATCTTATAAGTACCCTGGTCATCCTCGGTGATGTTATTGGACGATACAATAGAAGAATGACAAGTCCCCAAAAAAGCCTCAAAATGATCTATTACTAAACACCATGAAAATCCTCATTTGACTTGATATGCCACTTGATGCAAGGGCTTCACCAATATGATAATGATTTTGATTAAATCTTCTGAAAACAACGAATTCACATATTAGTATATCCATATTATATTGCCTTGGGGTCATGTGCTCTCTGACCATCCATGTTGCAATGTAATTGTATGTTTTTTCTATAGATCCACTAGCATAGTAGTTATTCAGTTGAGATGGAAAGAAATCATGATGGTTTAAAGCTAGAGCTACATTGCTAGACATGTAATTAGATGCTCGAAGCTTCCTAGTTGTATATTCAACCATTCCAACATGAACCGAGGCATACTGCTAATACATCCAATATTCCATCAATACGACTTACCATCAAGATGGTAAAAATAACCTCTATATGCTTCACATACAGTTTCCAAGCTTCTGATTCTGTGGTTTAGAGATGGCTGCATCCACCGTAAAAGAGATGTTTCTTTGGTCCGTCAGATAAGCTTTTATCTAAGAACGTTATATCAATTAACTATTCTAGCTTTGGATCAATACAAGCATGGCTATGTTAATTTCGGGGAGATGATAGCAGCATATCTTAGCCCGCCTATCTTACAATAACGTGTGTCACATGTGAATTCAGTACAAATAGTGCACAAGATCTTCATTCAATGTCAAGCCAAGCATGCATGATTCTGATCCTTAAATCAATCGACTAATACACAACATAACATTAGTGAGAATCCACTTCGCCTGATTAAGTCGTCTCATACAGAGCCATTTGTGTGTTTATAAATCAAGATTTCCATAAATTTGTTTTGTTAACAATTAACACCTTTACTTGTAATATAACATGATCTCCCCAGAGAATTATATCTGGGTATATTAATTAAACATTATAATTACTTTCTGAGCAACTAGGTTTTTCTACTCAGAATTGAAACAGCGGTCCACCAGGGGCTCGGAGTCTGATACCCTGAAGCTTGAATACAACAGACAGACAGAGTATGATTCTCTTTGTCAGCTGTAATACAGGAGCTGACGGAGGAGATGAGACAGGGGGAGCACAGGGAGGCAAGAAAGGAACTGATCTAAATTAGAGTCCATTTGCATTATATGAGTACAGTTACATTAACACATTTAATAACCAGCGACATTACAGTCAATGATGAACACACTAATGTTACAGCTAATAATAGAGAAACCGACAATTTTATGCTTAAAGCCATTGACAACAAGTATGACCACAAAATGCTATAGCCAATAACAAAGACCATGACTATGCTCATGTTATAGCAAACAAAAAAGACCATGCTAATTTTATAGCATACAAAGACCATGCTCATGTTATAGCTATATAGCAAACAAAAAGGACAATGACCATGTTCATTTTATAGCAAACAAAAAGGACAATGACCATGCTCATGTTATAGCAAACAAAAAATACTATGACCATGCTCATGTTATAGCAAACAAAAAGGACAATGACCATGCTCATGTTATAGCAAACAAAAAATACTATGACCATGCTCATGTTATAGCAAACAAAAAGGACAATGACCATGCTCATGTTATAGCAAACAAAAAAGACTATGACCATACTCATGTTATAGCAAACAAAAAAGGACAATGACCATGCTCATGTTATAGCAAACAAAAAGACCATGACCATGCTCATGTTATAGCAAACAAAAAAGACCATGACCATGCTCATGTTATAGCAAACAAAAAAGACCATGCTAATTTTATAGCATACAAAGACCATGCTCATGTTATAGCTATATAGCAAACAAAAAGGACAATGACCATGTTCATTTTATAGCAAACAAGAAGACCATGACCATGCTCATGTTATAGCAAACAAAAAAGACCATGCTAATTTGAAAGCATACAAAGACCAAGACCATGCTCATGTTATAGCAAACAAAAAAGACCAAGACCATGCTCATGTTATAGCAAACAAAAAGACTAAGACTATTACCATGCTAATGTTATAGCCAATGATAGCCAAATGGCTTGTATACTTTTAAACCATCTCACAAAGACACAATGACTAGTATATAAGTTTATTTTTTGCTTACAACATTCCAGGCCATGCCCATTTTGCTAATGGCGTGAATTAGTAACTTCACTCAACTTTTAATTTA